GGGCCCGTGAGCCACAACTACTGAGCCTGCGCGTCTGGAGCCTGTGCTCCGCAACAAGAGAGGCCGCGACAGTGAGAGGCCCGCGCACCGCGATGAAGAGTGGCCCCCGCTTGCCGCACCTAGAGAAAGCCCTCGCACAGAAACGAAGACCCGACACAGCCATAAATAAATAAATAAATAAATTTTAAAGTTCACGACATATATCGACATTCAAAAAAAAAAAAAAAAAACCCCCCCCAGACCCCCCCCCCCCCCCCAAACCTCACCATTTAATGCCGGATCTTCCACTTGGTCCTCAGAGCTTCCGTCTCTCTGGGGCTCATCCAGAGGAGGCGGACGCTCCCAGGGACCCTCCAGACCTTGGCCAAAAGTAGTCTTCTGCCCTGCTGGGGACGGGAAAGAAGGGATAAAAGCACAGGCTCTGAGTATCCATCTGGCTGTCCTGGAACAGGAGCCGAGTCTCTCAGCTGGCTGTGGCTAAGCTTTCGGAGGGTATCATGGTATAGTGGAGACAGCACTGGACTAAGACAGTTCTTGCAATGACTAGCCATATGACTTAGATAGGTCCGTTGTTACCTCTTTGAAGGGGATGGTAAGAGGGAAATTGTGTAGACTGCCTTAAATAAGATAATAGTTAATAACCTGCAGCCCAGCGCCGGCACTTAGGAGCTGCTCCAAGATTGGTGGCTATTGATATTGCTCCTTGGTCATCCTGTCATTTGACCCACGGCCCTGCTGCTTTCCTAAGGGAACAGTCTCCTCTCACCTCCTCTTCACCTGTTCTGGGGGGTCCCAGCGGGAGTTGACTCACCTGTTCCAGCTGGAGATTTTGATCCCATGACCGATGCCCCCGCTGCCAAGGCAGAGAGGAGGCCCACGCCGTTTTGGGGGGGGCGGTGCAAGGGATGGACACTTCAAGCAGGGGTGCTTGGCTATTTTTCATCCCCATAAATAATGGCACCAAAACGTTTAAGATGCACTGGGAGGGATAGATGTGGCTGTCCTGGGCCTAGAAAGAACAGTCTTCCTGCCTAGGAATTCTCTGGGCCTTGGGACTCCCTGTGGAGATTTGGGGATTTGGGGTCTCTAGCTCTGAGGCCTTCTGTGTAGGTTTCTTGCCCCTCTCTTCCCAGGCAGCTGGGGTTGGAGCTGCAGCCAACGCAGTTGGTTCTTGAATCCTACATTCTCCATCTAGACACTAGAGGGCACCCTCTCACCTCCAGCCTAGGAAATAAAAAAGGGGAAAAGAGCCACGGGTTCCTGGAGAGGACTTATCAACCAGCCCCGTGCCCCCAGCAGAGACCACATCCTGTGTTCAGAAATGCAGGCGATGGCGGCACTGGATACTCTTAGCCCAGTATCCCCCATCTCCTTGCACCTCCCAACTGCCGTGGATGGAAAGTCCTTTCTTGGGTCTAGCCTCAAACCTCAGGTGGCCTTACCTTAATTCTTAGGGAAGAGAGGAATTATTGGAGGAAACCTGATTGGGAGAAGGACTGAGTCAAGGATGGGAACAGCCCAGGTGTCAGGTAAGGCTGAGCGCAAGGCATCCTGTGGGATGAGAGAGTGGGGAGGCCCTTTACATGTGTGAGAAACTGTGAACCGGGAGGGGGTGTTCCAGGACACTCAGGGAGGATCCCACCTAATCTGTGGTGGTGGAACCCAGGCTTCACAGCCCGTTCAGCTTACCAGACGCCCTGCTGCCCTTCAGGATTTCAGCCTGGCTGTCCTCGTCCTCCTCCTCCTCGTCCTCCTCCTCCTCCTCCTCCTCCTCTCTTGGGTAGCCCAGCTCCCGCAGCTCCCCCAGCTCATCCTCCTCCTCTGAGGCCTGGTTCTCACCCAGGTTGCTGATGGACTGCAGGTGAGACTCAGCAATGCGCTGCACAGCTGGCACAGGGGCACGGGGAAGGCAGGGGTCAGCCAGGCCCAAGAAGCGGGAGAGGCATGTGGCCCAGTCCCCAGCCTCCTTCCTGTGGGCCTGGGGCAGAGCTAATCCCCCACAGGGGTCTAGTTCAAAAGCTAAAAGCTGCAGGTCAGCCTGCTGGGGGCCAGACCAGGGCAGAAGCAGCAGGGGGTAGCCTCTTGATCATGTCTGGCTCCTAAGCTGTCCAAAGGTGCTGCTCTCCCAGAGGCTGGCACCAGGCAGCTCCTGCCAAGCCGGACAAGACCAGGCGGGTACAGCAGCAGCCTAACATTCCCTGGCTGGGGAGCTTGTCCACCAGCTACAGCCCCTGGAGAAGGCACAGGGCCTGTGGGCCAGGCCCTGGGGGATTTGTCCCTTTCAATTCCTAGGGGAGTGCCCAGCCTGCTTAGGGCTCACTGCTACCTCTATCCTGCCCACCACCCCATGCTGGGCTTGGTCCCCACTTCCCGGCACTGCCCCATCATAGATGCTACTCCACACACCTCTGCCCTAGGCTCTAAGAGGCAGGAACAGTTCTGAGGCTGAGGACATAATAGTCTGCAGCCAGTGAAGTCCGTGCCTGGGGATGCGGCGTGCTCAGACGCGGCCCCCACAATCTTGACCCACATCCCCAAGCTTCAGCTCCCTCTGCGGTGACCTAGAAAGCAGTGAACACCACCCACCCCCCCAACGCCACCAAGGCCTGCTGGGATAGGACCTAGCAAGGGAACAGTGTGGGCAGCTGGAGAGAAGTTTCCAAAAGATGGAAAGGACTAGGGGGTTAGGAGAAAGGGGCCAGGGCTGGGGAACTCTGGGAGAATGGCAGGGGTTGAGGGGACCCTGGGAGGAGTGGCTGGGACAGAGGCAGTAGGGGGGCCAGGAGCTGGTGGGATTTTAGAGCATTTGGGTCACTAAAGTCAAGGCCCAGAGACCAGATGCTGATGAGCTGGGCCCTACAGTTGCTGCAGTTCCTCCTTGCTCCGCAGGCAGCCCCTCCCCTCAGAAAGCCCAGAGGGGGCAGATCCAGGCTGGAAACCTCCAGTGTAGGGAGCAGGGCACCGCTCTCCTGCCAACTCAGGGACAGGCACAGAGGGTGCATTGTGCCTGCCAGCTGCCCTGCCTTGCCCCGAGCTCCACCCTGTGCCTCCTGCTGGCTCTGGGCAAGCTACCCAGGCAATAAAAGCGCGATAAATTACCCCACCCTGTCCTTGGGGAAAGCTTCACCTTGAGCCAAGTGTGAGAGCTCAGCCTTGGAGAACCTCCCTCAAGCCAAGACTCAGTGTCCACCCTTCCTTGGGGGCCCTGAGCTTCTCCACCTACAAGTCCCCCACGCTGCCAGATGCTTTCCCTGCCCAGAAAGGAGCCAGAGCCTAGAGCACAGTGCCCTGCGGGTTCAGAAGGGTCCTCTGAGCGTTGGGGAAGGGAGGAAGGGAGGAGGTGGCAGCTCGAGCAGCCGGGGGTGGAGAGTTCAGTTCTTCAGTTCGTGAGCCACAGCATCAACAATAGGTGTGCGCAGCCCTGTGCTGGCGCCCCGTGAGCCTCCCGCGTGCCTCGCCTGCCTCGTGCCTCGCAGGGCTCTCTGGGGTCTCCCCCTCATCCTCCCAACTGTCTCCTAATCCCTCTGTCTCCAGCTCTGGGAACCTGAGTTCCCCCCACCC